GGGGAAGGCGCCTGGTGCATGTTCTACAAGGCGCTGCCGTTCGGCTCGCTTGCGAGTGGAGTCGAAAAAAGGCTTCCGCTGACGCCAGGGGAAGATGTAAGCGAGGAAGGGGGGGAAGGAAGGGGAGTGTAGCAAGGAAGGGAAAGGAAAGGAATAGGATTGTATGACATCACCAAGAGAAAGAAGGCGAGGAATGGGTGCTGGGGGGGCTGCCCATATATATATATATATATATATATATATGTGTGTAGGCATGTGTGTATGTATGTATATGTACGGATTTCTGACAGTTGGGCGCAAGTCTTGTATGAGCATGCGCTCGTCCTGCTCCGCCGCTAAGCGCAGACTCACACCACTCCTGCACATCCTGTAAGGAGGCAGGAGGGGAGGAGCCAGGAGGGGTGTTAGGCGGAAGGAACGCATGGCCGAGACGGAGGGTTAGATTAGGGAACGCCCGAACAACTCGATCCTCAAGCCTCGCGAGGGTCCCCAGAGGCCGAAAAGGACGAAAAACTTCGGTCCTGACCTTTGTCAGTACGTCGGAGATGTGTGAAGGAACCCAGGGAGACACAAATAAATGAACACGAATTCCCAGATTCCCGAAAAGAGGCCCCAGAGGCCGAAACTGAGGAAAAGTGCCAGGGAGAAAAAAAACAAAAAAACAAACAAACAAACAAACAAAAGAAAACAAACAAAAAACTCGGAATCCAAAAGATGCCGATACCGCTGCCCCCTGGACCTCTGCCAGGGCGCGTCCTGACCAAACTTTCAAGGCGAATCCCGCCGTGGCGGGTTCGAGGCCAAAAGGCAGGAGAAAGGCACGGATCGGAGAAAGCAAAGTCGTCGGAGGTCGCGGGGGGGGATCGGCCGCCCCGGCTGCGCCACGCGCTGCCCGTGGCGTGTGAACGCGAAGCTCCGCACGTGGGCTAAAAACGCAGCTCTGGCGCAAGACGCTGGCCAAAAGCGTGGGCCAACGCGTGCCGAGCCAGCACGCAGCGGGTTGACTCTCAGATCTGCGGCCACAATGACTACCTACCGGACCACCCCAACCCAACCCGAAGACACGAATTTGACCCGAATTTCGAGTTGGGGGGATACGGGGACCATGTGTTTTTTCGATGTTCCCCGATCCCCCCCCACCGGAAATGGAGGGCAAATTGAAGCCTTCGGGTTGGGTTGGGGTGGTTTGGTGGGTGGTGACACAAGGGATCGGGCGGCGAGAGCGAGCGGGAGGCGCCAGGGCTGCGCAAAAGAGGCACGAGGGGACGGGGAAAGAGCGCAGGAGCGCGGGGGGGGGGGGCCGGGGGAGAGCCCGGAGAGGAGAAGGCCACGCTCGGACCCTGGAAGCACACGCGCGCGTGCCAACTCGCAGCGTGCCAACAGTGACGAGTTGAACGCGGCGCGCATCGCGTGTCGACGCGGGCGCATCGGTGCCGCCGACGACGACGACGACGACGCCGACGACGACGACGACGCCGACGACGCCGACGACGCTGGACGACGCCGACGACGACAACCTCCGCGTCACTGACTGGGCCGCCGAAGACCGCCCGAAGCCGCCGACGGCCGCCGAGGGCCGCCGAGGCCCAGGCCACCCAGAGGGCCGCCGCCGAGGGGCCGCCGGCGGTGGGCGGCGCGCGCGGCCTGGGGCAGCGGCGTCGTCGGCCCCGCAGCCGCAGCGGGGGGCTCCGCGGCGCCGCCGGCTGACTCCAGCTTCCTGCGGCGAGCCGCGGCGGGCACGCCGCGGCAGCAGCCGCGGAGGCTCCTCCTCCTCCTCCTCCTCCTCCTCCTCCTCCTCCTCCTCCTCCTCCTCCTCCTCCTCCTCCTCCTCCTCCTCCTCCTCCTCCTCCTCCTCCTCCTCCTCCTCCTCCTCCTCCTCCTCTCCTCCTCCTCCTCCTCCTCCTCCTCCTCCTCCTCCTCCTCCTCCTCCTCCTCCTCCTCCTCCTCCTCCCTGCCAGGCTGCAGCCAGCAAAAAATGGCGGATCCGTTCGCGCGCGTGCTGCTCGCAAAGGGCAGCGGACGGCACCTCTTCCAGACGGGGCTCTCGCCCGAAATCGGCGTCGTGCGACAGGAGGAGGAGGAGGAGGAGGAGGAGGAGGAGGAGGAGGAGGAGGAAAGGGGAGGAGGAGGAGGAGGAGGAGGAGGAGGAGGAGGAGGAGGAGGAGGAGGAGGAGGAGGAGGGGGAGGGGGAGGAGGAGAAGTGAGAAGGGGCGGGCCTTCGCAGAAGGCTCGGAAGTCCCCCAGGCCTTCTGGGAAGTGTCCTAAGCCTTCCCCAGCGGCACGTGGAGACCTCTCAGAGGGCGCGGGGGGCTTCCGAGAAGCCCCGCCGTTTTCTGAGAAGGCCTCCTCCTTCTCACTTCCCCCCTCCCTCGCTCGCCGCCGAGCATGTCCACGCATGCATCTACTAGGACAACGCTCGCGCTTCGCGCACTTATGTTCTAGCCAAGGCGAAGCCAGCGTCATATCAATCAGCGGAAGGGTACGCACGCCGTCCCACCACGATTACCACGTGGGAACACCTGCGCCATCGTGGGCATACAGATCTGAATAGCGTCTCCCCGCCTATTTCGGCACATCCTTCACACGGATCGTGCCCTCAGGGAGCTCCACCTACGGCCCCCCACCCGTTTCGGCACACCCCTCACAGGGATCGGGCCCCACAAGGAGCTCCACCCACGGCCCCGTCGAATAGCGGCACACCCCTCACGCTGATCGTGCTGCCCCGAAAATAACTGCACTTAGAGGGAAGCTTCGCAGACCGTCGCTCTACTCACGCCGGCACACCTCTCACAGTGATCGTGCCCTGCAGGGAGTTCCACCCAAGGCCCCAGAGACAAGGTTCGCATCCCGCCCCCCCACCTACTTCGGCACACCCCTCACACTGATCGTGCCCCACAGGTAGCTCAACCGACGGCCCCAGAGACAAGGTTCGCATAGCGCCCCCCACCCCGCCCACTGCGGCGTCACACCCCTCATGCGGAGCACCACCCAGTCCCAAAGACAAGGCTTGCAAATCGTCCCTCCGCCCATGTCGGTACACCAGGCACGCGGATCGTGCCCTGGAACGAGCTCCACGTATGGCACCCGTTGGCACCTTCTCATGGCGTCCCCACGCCCACTTTGACGCATGCCTCACATGGATCGTGCCCCACAAGGAGCTCCACCTGCGGCTTCAGTGGGCGGGCTCGCGCAAGGGCACCCGGATGATTCTGCACCCCCTTCATGCGGATCGTGCCCCACACGGAGTTCAGCGCGCCTGTGCAAGCTTGCTCCTCAGCAGCCCGCTATCAGCTCGGCCCCGCGGCGCGGAGTGTATGAAGAGAGGGCCGCGCACTGCGCTACGCGCGACTGCAGGGATGGGTCCGTCGCCAGGCCAATTGTTTACTTACGAAGACGCGAGGAGAAGGAGGAAAAGGATGCCTCTTGGGAGCCAGTTGGGGCACTCCTGGGGCCTCCTGGGAGCTTCCTGGGGGCTTCTTGGAGGCCTCTTGGGGAACTTTAGGAGCTTCTTGGGGGCCTCTTGGGTCGTCTGGGGGCGTTCGTTCCTGGCCCGTCTGACGCTGTCGGAAGCCGTCGTGGGTGCCTCTCTGAACCGACTTGGGGCCCTCTTGGGGCGCTTCAGGGCAGTCTTGGAGGCCATCTTGGGCGCCTTGGAAGCCTCTTGGACCGTCTTTAGGCCCTCTAGGGGCCGTCTTGGAAGCTTCTTGGGGCGTCGTGGGGTAATGTTGGAGGCCTTGGGGGCCGTCTTGGGGCGATTTTGGGGGCCTCTTGGGCCGTCCTGGTCCGTCGGAAGGCCGAATGGAGCGCTCTTGGACTGTCTTGGGGGTCTATTTTAACCCTCTTGTCCCGTTTTGGTACCCCCTTGGCCTCTCCGGGCCGCCTCTGGGAAGCGAACGGGGAGGGTAGCCAAAAGCTTTCCCGGATGGATGCAAACTGGGCGCCCCCCGGCCCGGGGGGGGGTCTATTCATATATTCATTATTATTATTATATATACACACACACGACCAAACCTAGGCTCGATACACAAGTAAGCTTGACTGGCAGAGAGACGTCGGGCCTGACTAGGACGGGCGGCACAGCTCTCGAAGCTCACCCTCGTGCACCGGCGCACTCGAGAGCGCAGAGACACATGTCGCCGCGCCGCTTGTCATCGACGCGCCCGAGTGGAGGACGCCGACATCACGGCAGACCCATGGCCAGCCCTGCGCCCCGCGCCCCGAGGAGATGCAGGCGACGGCGACAAACCCATGGCGAGCCCACCGCACCCGAGGCGGAGTTTGCCCTGGTGCCCGCAGCGCCCTCCCCAAGGCGCAAGGCTGCGCGTCGGAATAAACGGCGCGGCGACATGTTGTACACATGCGCCCTCCGCCGTTCAGGCGCGGGTCGGCGGAAGCTGACCGCGTACGTGTACATAGGTTGCTGGCCTCTGGCTGGTCACGTCCGAAGGGGGGCCAACGGGGCCCCGACGTGCGTTCTCTGAAGCGGGGAGGGGAATTCACTACGGAGCAAGACGTTGCGTGCAGAACGGGTCAAGGCCAGCGCGATTGTCTGGCAGAGGCGGAGGGCAAGACGTGCCATCGATACGAAACACAGCGAATCACAATATGGAAGGAGCGGACGCAAAGCCTAGAGCGAAGAACCAAGGCACCAAGAAGGCGGAGAATAAGGGGAAGGAGGAGGAAAATGGACAGCAGCATCAGCAGCAGGAGCACGCAAACGGTAGATAATCATGACGCTCCAGCGCACTGGCGGCGCAGCAAGGACGAGATAAACACAGGAGAGTAATGGAGGGCAGCATGGAGCAAAGGAGTTCTGTCAGGCTGGCTGTAAGAATACGTACGCTCTACGTGGACAATCAAGTGCAGTGCAACCACCAGCCTAAAACCACTACACAATTCAACATGAGGACCGGTCCAGGCAAGCCAGCTCTTTACTGACAAAGGGCCCCTGGCTGCTGACACTGATTGATGGCCAGAACAGAATGAGCTATTGCGTTGATGCGATTTTTAGGGACGGCTCAGAGAGGGCCGTTCAGACAATGTACCCCTGCCTAACAGCGGCCCTCGCAAGCGTGGGGTGCTGAAGCTTAAATCATAGAAGCCCCCACGTGAGCGGAGCAGCAGCGCCTGGGTCATGACTGCGAGTTCGACGATGTTCGACGGTTGCGTCAGGGCCGCGCGCTGGACGCGCCCGATTGTGAGCACGCGCTCGAAACTGGTGCATCAGCAGCATTGGCGGCGGTGCTCAAGCATGAATTCTCTGCCACCGAATTGGAGAGTCATTTTCCTGTACACACCAGCGGCGGTTGGGACCAGCGCGGCGCGAAAGCACGCAAGCGAGGGCAAGCGGAGGCGGAAGTGCGAGACCAGCACTCTTGCGAAGGCCTGACGCCAGCCGCGTCTGCGACGCGGCAGTGTGTAGAAGCGCCCCGAGCCGAGGGCGCATGCAGACTTGCAAATCCGCCGCCGTGACCACAGGCACGCGGAGTGGTATCACGCTGCCCCTCTTCTGTCTGGCAGGCCCCTGAAATGTTCTATAGCCCAGCCCTAAAACGCACCATCCTCGCACCCACCCGCGAGCATCCCCCATCCATGCGACTTTCCGACGGCCTCAACGGCCCCATGACTGGCCAGCACAGCGTTCAAGCAATAAAGACGACTCCAAGATAACCAACGACGTCTGCGAGACGGCCCAAAAAGACGCCCCAAACGCCCCCATGGAAGCAAAGAGGGCTCTCGAAGATCTTAAGGAGACCAGGCCCAAAGAGGCGCCGAAGAGATCCCAAAAGGCACCCAGGAAGCCCCAAGAAGCCTCACAGAAGCCTTCCAGAAGGCCGCTGAGAAATCAAGAGCACTGACAACCATACGGTTTCGTCGCGCTCTGGCCCCACATCGATATTCGCCCTCAAAGGCCGACAGACGCCGCCCGGAAGCCTCAGAGATCCCTCAACAACTGGCCCTCGAGAGGCCCCAAGCGAGCCCAAGATGGTCCCCCCCAAACGGAGCAGAGCGCCCCCCAACTGGGATCGGCGCGGGATGACGACGACGCCGTCGTCGTCGTCGTCACGGGGGGTTGTCAGTGGATGCCAAGGTGCTAGCTTATACGCGGGCTTTACACATGCCCCAGGTGGCCGATGGGGAGCTAGATAAGCCCGCTAAGTGGGCGGAGCCCAGTTGGCCCGGATCGCTGAACCCCCCTCCGCCACTTGGGGCACGTGTAGGACCCACCTGCAAGCTGGGGTAGGCCAGATATAACCCACCTCGGCATCCACTGATGGCCCCGTATCCCCTCAGCAACCCCCCACGCCGATCCCGGAAGACTGCCCCTGGCCCCGAGTGGCACAGGACCGATCCGAGACAGCTCCAAGACGGAGTCGAAGGATCGCGCCGCATCGCCGATGCGTCGGCGATGCATCGCCGAAGCATCGCCAACGCATTGGCGATGCATCATCGGCGTCGGCGACGCATCGAGCCGCATCGTCGATGAATCGGCGATGCGGCGCGATCCTCCGACCCTTCTCTACTCGGACCTCATCTGGGAGGCCTAGAATCGAGCAGCACAAACTCAAACCTATAGGGATTGGGAAGGGCAAGGAGATGAGGCCGCTTTAGAGATAAGCGTGGGCTGTCGGACCCCGCCGAGGGAGGGATCCCGTTCGAGCAGGGACTCCCATCCGACAACATACAGCCACAGTCCCCACGGAATCCCACCCCGATAAATCAGCTGACCCCTTGGGGTTCTCGGCGTGTGAGATTCAAGGGGCCCAAGGACACACAAATAAATGCACACAAATTCAATGACTCCCTATATTTTCGCATATTTTCTTGGGTTTTGTCTTCCCCCCCACTTCCCGTATTTTCCCTATTTTCCTGGGAGGGGACGATTAATTGTGTCTGTGTTTGTTCCCCTTCTGAGAGATATTCCCCCCTCCCCGAAACCCCTTCTTCGGGAGCCTGGTCTGGACGATTTGGAGAGGGGGGGGTCCCCTGGGGACCGGTCGAACGCGTCACGGCGGGACAGAGGGCTCCAAAACGGGCCAAGAGAGTACCAAGAAGCCCTCTGGACGGTACAAGAGAGCCACAAGCCGCCGAAAGATCTATCCAAAAACGCCCACGCTGGCCTCCAAACGGCCCAAGAGGCCCCCAAGACGCCCAAAAAATCAAGAGGCGTCAGAAGACGCCCTCGAAGAGCAAAACTCGCCCCATTCCCATAGGAAACGTATGTTTAGTAAGTTCGCCCAAGAAGCCTCCTGGATCGCCCCTGGATGACCCAAGAGGGCCCCAAGGCCGCTCAAGAAGCACCAGGATAGCCCCGAGAGGGGGCCCAGTGGGGGAACCCATACGAACATTTCGAGCCTTCGACCCCAAACCGCCCCCCGGCTGCCCCAAGAATCCCCCAACAGGCTTCCAGGAAGCTCCGAGAGGCCCGAAAAGAGCTCCCAAGAGACCTCCAGGAGGCCCCCAAGCGGTTCAGAAACTGCTTCCCAAACGCCCCCGGACGCCTCCCACGAGACCCGTGTCTGCCATCCGCGCGGCCTCAGACCCGCAGCCCAGGCAGGGTGGCGGGATGTGCCGAAGGCCATTCGATCCCCCGCCCCCAGTGGTCTTGCAACAAGGGTGCCTGGTGTGCTGAACCCTACTGGTTTGGTTTGGCTGTTTTTGTTGAAGAACTCCCCCCTCGGGCTTCGACGCATCCCGCCGGCCACGCGGAAAGGCGCAGAATTCGTCGAGCAAAAATCCCAATCGCCCCTCGGCGGTGGGCAAACCTCCCTTTAGTTAACCACCCTTGAGTGAAAACGGCCTGGGACCGAAACCGACGAAACTGGACCCGCAAAAATGACCGTCGCGACGCCCTCTCGCGAATTGTAAACGGCCAATTCGCTAATCGACGTGTCAGAATAGGAGGTCTGCCCACCCCCGAGCGCCCAAGACGGCCTCCAAGACGGCGCAGATAGCTCAAGATGGCCTCCACGCTCGACCAGGATGGTCCGACATGGGCACCGAGATGGCCCAAGCGTGTCCAAGATGCCTCCAAGTCCGCCCAACGGCCCAAGAGGCCCCCAAGAGACGGCCCAAGAGGCCCCCAAGAGGGCCTCCAGGAGGGCCCGAAGAGGCCAAAATCATTGATGTTCCTAAGGTTTTGAAGGATGTGGACATTTACTCCTTTTCGGCCCTCCGACTGCCCGAATCGGCCCAAGAGCCCCCAAAGATCGCCCCAAGATCGCCCAAGAGGCCTCCAAGATGGCCCCAGAACGGCCCCCAAGAGGCCCCCGAGACGGCCCCAAGAGGGCCCCAAGACGGCCCAAGAGGCCTCCAAGACGCCCAAGATGGCCTCTAAGACGGCCCTGGAGCACCCCAAGAGAGCCCCAAGTCGGCCCAGAGAGGCCCCCAAGACGGCTGCCGACGGTGTCAGACGGGCCACGAATGCCCTAAGACGGCCAAAGAGGCCCCAAAAGGCACCCAAGAGGCCCAAGGAGGCCCCCAAGAGACCCCAGGAAGATCCTGGAAGGCCCCAAGAGTGCCCCCGGAGGCTCCCAAGATGCCCCCTCCTCCTCCTCCTCCTCCTCCTCCTCCTCCTCCTCCTCGTCCTCCTCCTCCTCCTGATCTTCCCCGCCATCCTCCCCCAAGTGGTCCCCGAAGGGATTCCACAACGGCTGGGGGAAAGCATAATTAGTCCGATAGCTTGGCAGAGCTCTTGCCACAACGCTCGGCCGCATGGGCGATGTCAAGAAGCAGGGGGCGGCGGTGATTCGCCGTGGGCGTCTTCGATGATTCAAAAAGCTCCAAGAAGCCCCCAACAGGCGCCCAAGAGACCCTCAGGAGCAAAACACAACAACCGCCAGTCCCCAAAGGGGTCGGTGGTGTGACGTAAGCCTCAGAATCTACGGGTCGCATGGGTATGGGTGTTAGTTGCCAGCTCGTGAAAAGGTCGGGAAATCAAAAGGTACCAATACAACCCTACGGCGAATCGAATCGCATCGACTCGTATCGTGGGCGGCCCTGATCAGAGCGCTGCGGCGGCGCGGGGGCGGAGGTCGCCGCAGGCACCCGGAGATAAAAAACTACGAATTGGAGAAGGCCGCCGCGCGAGCGCACGCGCGACGGGGTCGCAGGCCACTGGGGTTAGGTCGGACATGTCCCCCATACAGGCGGATTTTGGACGAAGAATCAAAAATACGCACAAAAGAAAAGCAACAGAAAAGTCAAAAGTGCTTTCTTGCCAGAAAAAGGAAGAAGGAAAAAAACAGAAAAACGTCCCCAGAGTATGTCTGGACAATTTTGGAATATTCCTCCTGTAGAGGGACACGCCCGACTGAACACTGGAGCACGGCCTACACGAGCAGGAGGGGGGGTGCAGAGCGCTCCGCCTTGGCCCCTCTCGCCACCACATCCCCTCCGCTGGACAGGCGCGCTCCGCTGCTCGCAGAGTAGCTGCCCGCAAATAGCCTGGATCCGCCGCGGGGGACCTGCGATCCACTACTACGTCGAGGCAGACGTCTGCTTTCGCTCGGACTTCAGCCCCTCGACCTCCACCTGCGGGGCCTTCCGCGCGGCGGGTGCCGCCGCGGCGCGGCCGGGCCACGGCTGCGGCCTCGACGGCGGCCGCCACTGCGGCCGCGCTGGCGGCGGCCGCTGCGCGGCACCTGCCGTCCGGAAGGTGCGGAAGGTGGAGGCCCAGGGGCGAGCAGGCACTCTGCGAGTAGCGGAGCGAGCCCGGTGACCCTCGCTCACGCGCCACCCAGCCGCCGGCGCTTGGCGGGCAGCGCCGCCGCGGCGCTGCCGGCGCCGTGCTTCGGCGGGCCCACTGCGGCGAACTCTCCGGGGGGCACCCCGTACCTCGGAGCAGGGCGGGTCGAGGCAGCGGCAGCTCAGAGTCCGTCTCTGGACCCCCTCCCAGCCGGGGTGGTCCAAGCGCACAAGTGTCCCGGATTGCCTCCAGCCGTGGCGACGAGGGGGCCCCCCGAAGGCCAACTACCGTTGTCGCAGCTCGCCCTCCTCTGAACACCTCGCCCGCACCATGAACTTCTCCAGAAGGGCCTCCGCATCCTGCCCCACCTCGAACACCTAGGAGAGCTCCAACAATACACCACCACCAGCCCTGGCCAGGCCTGTCGTGGGCCCTGGACTGGTGCACAGGCCTTCCTGGCCTAGGCCAGAAGGTCTGCACACTGATCCAGGGCCCAGGAAGTGCCTGGCCAGGGCTGCTGGCGGTGTATAGGCGGCGTCCCTCCGATCACCGTCGCGGCGGGCGAGGCGGTGCGGGCAGCCTCGCGGCCGCTCCCGCGAGGGCCGCCCGCGAGCGGCTCGAGCACCGCGCCAGCCGCGGCGCCGCCCCGCGCGGCGGACCACACGCTCTCGGGCGCCTGCGGCCCGCTGGGCGCCCTCGCCGCCGGGGTGAGCCGGGCCGCCAGGCGCCCGCCCCCCGCAGGCCGCCTGCGCTGCAGCGGCAGGGGCGCCGCGGCGCCCACGGGCTCCTCGCCCGCGGACTCCCGCGCCGCGCCGCCCCAGAAGCTGTCCTGCTGCACTGGCGGGTCCCGCCGCCACCGCCAGCGCCCTGGCGACGCAGGCGCCCGGCCCGGGCTGGGCGCCTCGCTGTCGGTGCCGCCCGCGGGGAACCACTCCTCGTCGGAGGGCGCGCTGGGGGCTGGCAGGCAGCCCTGCGGCGCAGGCGCCGCCTGGGCAGCGGCCAGGGGCGTGCGCATGGCCAGGCCGACGGGCTCTATCGGCGCCTCGGAGCGAGCGCTCGATGGCCCGCTCTCCGCGTCGCGGTGCGGCGCGCGCAGCGGTGGCGGCCGCTGCGCCTCAGCGCGGCGCCTCGGCGCCTGCCCCTCCTCACCTCTGGGCGGCGGCCGAGCCTCGGAACTGGCACTCGGCAGCACGTCCCTCGAGCCGCCGAGCTGCGCGCGCCGCCGCAGCGGCTCGAGCTCGCTCTCCGCGTCGCTGGTCTCGCTGCGTGCCTCTGGCGCCGCGCCCCCAGAGCCGCCGAGCTGCGCGCGCCGCCGCAGCGGCTCGAGCTCGCTCTCCGCGTCGCTGGTCGCCGCGCCGCTCGAGCAGCTGTCCGTGGCGCGCAGCCGCAGCGGCTCGAGTTCGCTCTCCGCGTCGCTGGCCTCAGCGCGCGCTCCCATAGCCGCGCCCTCTGCGCCGGGGCGCGCGCGCCGCCGCAGCGGCTGCGCCTCCGAGCGGGCACTCGGCGCGTCGCTCTCCGCCTCACTGAGGGGCTCGCGCCGCGGCGGCGAGGGCGCCTCCGCCGAGCGGGCACTTGGCACCTCGCTCTCCGCGTCGCTAAGGGGCTCGCGCCGCGGCGGCGACGGCGCCCTCGAGCGAGCACTCGGCGCCTCGCTCCCGCCCCGCAGCCTCCCCGAGCACGGGCTCGAGGCGCCGCCGTCACTGCCGCTTGAGTGCTCCTCCGACTCCGCTGCGGAGGCCTCGCTCGCCCCCTGGCGGCGTCGGCGGAGACGCCGCCCGTCGCCCGAGCGCGCCGCAGCAGCGCGCGCCCGGCGCAGGCCGTGAGGGGCGTCGTCCTGGCTCTCCTCGCTGCTGCTGTCACTGCTGTCGGCGGCCTGCCGCCCAGTGAGCCTGGCGACCGTCCTCTTCAAAGCGCTCACCTGCGCCTTCAGCTCGGCGGAGTCGGCCGTGACCTCCCGCAGCTGGAGCCTCAGCTCCGCGGCCGCCTCCGGGCAGGGGGCGCCCGGGGCGCGCGGCACGGCCACGGCAGCGCCGCCGGCCCCTGCGGCAGCGCCCGCGGCCGCGTCCTCGTTGGCCTTGTCGATGGCGAGCAGCGTCGCTGCGAAGGGCCCCAACTGGTGGTCCACGTCCGTCACGGACACCGGAGGCCCGGGGAGGGCCTCGGCCTCGCAGCTCTCGCCCGCCGCGGGGCCCGTCGGCGGCGCCAGACTGCTCGAGGCGCCGGCCGACGTGGCTGGCTCGGCCCCGCCCTCGCTGTGGAGGGGCGGTAGCTTCCATACCGACCTGCCCTGCTTGTTCCAGTAGTACGTGCGCCCGTCGCTGGACGTCGCGCTCGTCCATGCGGCGCACGTGCCCAGGGGCAGCTCCCACTTGCTGGCCTTTTCCCGGCGGCTCCAGAAGTACACCCGCCCGTTGGAGGACCTCATCTGCACCCAGGCCTCGTCCTGGACTGGGCTGGCGGCCGCCGCTGGCGAAGGAGCCAGCGCAGCAGCCGGTGCCGCCGCCGCCACTGGCGCAGCAGCTGGCGCAGCGGCCAACGCCGCCGCCGCCGCAGCCGCCGCCGCAGCGCCTGGCGCGGCCTTTGGCAAGGCAAGCGTCGCCTGCCGCGATGGGGTGGCCGCTGCCGCCAGGGCCGCTGGGACCGGGGCCTCCGCGGCGACGGCGCAGCTGGCCACCGCGCCCCGGGGGGGCCTCCCGAGCCACTGCATGAAGCGCTCGGCGCGGGGGGGCCCCAGGTCCCTGGCGAGCACCTTCTGGAGCCTCTGCGCGTGCGCGTCTGGAGAGCCGCCTTCCAAGGGGCCGCCGAATCTACCAGTAGGCTGGACCACACAAACACACACGCAAACGCACATACATACGTACACACACACACACACACACACACGCGCACACACACACACACACACGCACACACACACACACACACACACAGACACACACACGCACAAACACACACACACACACACACACACGCGCGCGCGCGCGCCTTTCTTTTGCGCCGCGGCCACGCCCGCGGCAGCGCGGAGCAGAAAAACACACACATACACTTGTTTGGCGTCGCGGCCACTCGCGCAGCGGCTCGGCAGTCGGGAAAGCAGCCGCCGCCGCCGCCGCCGCCGCCGCCGCCGCCGCCGTCGTCGTCGTCGTCGTCGTCGCCGCCGCCGCCGTCGGCGTCGTCGTCGTCGTCGCCGTCGCCGCCGCCGCCGCCGCCGTCGTCGTCGTCGTCGACGTCGTCGCCGTCGTCGTCTTCGTCGTCGTCGTCGTCGTCGCTGCCGCCGTCGCCGTCGTCGTCGCCGCCGCCGCCGCCGTCGTCGTCGTCGTCGTCGTCGGCGTCGTCGTCGTCGTCGGCGGCGGCGGCGGCGTCGCCGGCGTCAGCGTCGGCGTCGGCGTCGGGGTCGGCGTCGGCGTCGCGTCGTCCGCGCCGCCGCCAAACCGGCCGCCCGTCGTCGTCGTCGTCGTCGTCGTCGCCATCGCCGCCGCGCAGCCGCCGTCGTCGTTCTCGTCGTCGTCGTCGCCGTCGGTCGCCCGACCGCGCCGCCGCCGTCGTCGTCGTCGTCGTCGTCGTCGTCGCCGTCGCCGGCCGCCGTCGCCGTCGTCGTCGTAGTCGTCGCCGTCGTCGCCGCCCCGCCTTCGGGCACGTCGCCGTCGTCGTCGTCGTCGTCGCCGTCGCCGCCATCGCCACCGCCGCCGCGGCCGCGGTCGCCGTCGTCGTCGTCGTCGTC